CCCCTGAGGAGACCTTGGTCGGCTCAGGAGGCCCCCTGCACCGTGAGACCCACAGACCGGGGCTCCAGCTCTGTGACCAGGTGCCTCACTGTGCCGCCCTGAGTCCCGGCCCCTCCCTGGCAGAGCGGGGGTTGCTGTGCCCCTCCCTCACCGGGCCTTTCTGGGGATCAAAGTGCTTGCTGCGGGCATCGCACAGCAGGTGCTCAACCGAAGGCAGAAGGTGCTGCTGTGGGGACGCGGCCTCCGGGAGGAGCCAGACGTGCCGAGATGTGAGCCACTAAATTATCGACCTCGGTGAGTCAGGGCCCCTTTCTGAGCCTCAGTTTCCTCTGTAAAATGGGGCCAGCGATAGGTTCTTCAAAGTGTTGCTGTGAGCATTAACGGGGAGGCTATCTATAAAGTCTGCTCGCGGCAGACGCTCTGACAGAGTCAGCTCCTCCCTCCCTGGGCCTCGGAGCCTGCAGGGCCCTTGTAAAGTCCAGATGGGATGCAGGGTGACAGGGATGACTCACAGTTACGGCCCAGCCCTTTCATGTTCTGGAAACTGCCATTAGCTCCCAGCCCCTCAGGTTGGCTGCTGGGCTTCCCAGGTGGTTTATGGGGAGACCCGGCCCTTTGCCATTTGGCGTGCAGGTGGGGCTGAGGCTGTGGCTAGGCTCTATCTAGAGGGTGCATGGCTAGGTAGTCATTCACTTCTGGTCAGTCAGTCAGTCAGTCAGTCAATGGGTCAATCAACAAACACTCATCCTGCTGAGATTCCATGTGCTCCGTCCTGGGCCCTTGGGGAAACATAAGTGAATCAGAACTAGTCCCTGGCCTCAGGGGGCTAAGTCTGGGGGAGCCATGTGGAAAGAACATGTCAAGTGGAGGGACTGTAGAAGCCAGAGCAGTCATTTAGCCCCACCTGGGGGATCTGGGAGGGCTTCCTGGAGGTGGCAGATGATGCCCTATCTGAGTCCCGACTCTACCAGGGGAGGAGCAGGGAGCGGGCAGGTGTGTGTGGAGGAGAGCAGTGAGGACAGACAAGTGCATGGCTGGGCACCCTCTGGAGCTACAGGGGGCTTCATGTGGAAGCTGGAGCCCAGGGAGCTGGAAGGGGCAGGGTGAGGGGTTGGGGCAGGCCGAGGGGCTCATGTGCTGAGACTGGATCCTGAGAGCAGCAGGGGATCAGGGCGGGGCTTCGTGAAGGGAAACTACTGCCAGCTCTGTTTTAGAAAGCCCACACCCGCAGTGCACGGATCGGACGGGAGGAGAAAAACCGGAGGCTAGCGACCAGGGAAGAGGCTGACCCAGGTCACAGGCATGGGGACAGGGAAGAGGCTGAATGAGGCCGTGGTCATGGGGACGAGGCTAAGCATTTTCATCCAGGAGCAGAAAAGGGGTAGTTGGCCAGGGCTTGCAAGGAGGAGCTGGTGGGCAGTACCCAGGGGTCAGGCTGGGCTCCTCCAGACTGCCAGGTGCCCCCATTGCCCTGTGGTGAGATGGCACAAGGGGCGAGATGTTGAGAGCCCCTAATAGGATGCTCCCCGCGAGAGGATTTACTGTGGAGCCACTGAAGGGTCTGGCTTTGTACCTGGTGACACATCCTGCCTCGAGAGAGGACATCTCCGGGAGCGCTGAAAAGTGACAGGTGGGCGCCTGCCAAGACGGAAGGCAGAGGTCTGGGTTCTCAAGGCGTGGAACTGGGGTTTGGACCAAGTGTGACCAGAGCTCCTGGGCATGGTGGAGGACGGGGCATCTGCTGACCTCCGACTGATACTAATAAAATAACGGCTCCTGCTTTGGAAATACTTACTGTACTCCAGGCCCTGTGCCATGCGTTTTACTTCCATCATTTCGTTTAATCCTCATAACCGCCCCATAACAATAATAACCACCACAATAATAATAATAGCTAACACTTGTATTGTACTTACTAGGCCCCAGGGCTTCTTCTCAGCATTTTACATGTATTAGTTCATTTTTAATTTTCACAATTCTGCGAAGTAGACACGACTATCCCCATTTTACAGAGGAGGAAACTGAGGCACAGAAAAGCTATGTAACTTGTCTAAGTTTGCAGAGCTAGGAGCAAGGATGCGGATGGAGGGCTGTCTGACCCCCTACCTGAGCTCTGACTCCTTCCTCATCCTGCCTCTCACAGCGTCTTTGCTTGCTGAAGGCAGGGATGTCCAGGGTCAAAGCACAGGCAGTGGCATAAATGAGGGCAGCTGGAAGAAGAGGGAGGGATGGAGTGGGAGGGAGGGGTCTGCATCATTAGTGCTTTCTGAAGGGGAGCCACTGCGGGTGACATTGTGCCCCCCAGAGGAGCTGCAGTTCCCTGGGGCTCAGAGTGGGTGGGTCCCGGAGCCCCGGGATGGGTGGGGCTGGGGGGACTGAAGATCTAGGCTTTAGAAAAGGGAGGCAGAGTAAAGTGACTCGTTGGTGACACTCGTCACCAACTGACTCGGTGACAAGGAAGTGACAAACTTCTCTGTCCTCCCCCACAGTCCTCGTACCCCATGTGGCTCCGCACCCTTGGTGGCCTGATGAGATTCAGTGGACTCTTTGTGGGCCTCTTCTTCCGGCCCCTGTTGGCCACTCCCTTCTTCTTGCGTTGGCTCACTACAGCTGCTGTTAACCTACCCCTCGATCCCCCGCTCCGCCACCATATACCACCCCCAAAGCCAGCTTGGGGTCCGCGCTAACCCCCTGTGCAGACGACGCCCCCATCTTCATCCAGACCTCCGTCCTGAGCCAGGGCACTGCCCGCCTAAACCTCCCCGACATCTCCCCTGGGTTAAGAACGAGGTTAGAGCGTGGACCCACGACCCCGCCATCCTTGCAGAATTGGACTCCAGCTCTGACCTGCCCTTCTGGCCTTGTTTCGGATCCCTCTATGCGCTCCAAACTCTAGCCAAACCCAGCTGCTCCGTCCCTGCTACTTTCCCATCTCAGTGCCTTTGAACGTGATGTCCACTCAACCTGGGATACTCTCGCCACCCTCCTAGCTAGCCAGTGTCTGCTCACTCCAGCACCCTCTCCTTCAGGAAGCCTCCCCTGACCTCCCAGGCTGGGTGTGCTGCCTCCTCTGTGCTGACTGTAGCTCCTTGTGATTAACTGAAGAGGAGAGGCAGGTGGAGACACAGAGCACAGAGAAGAAAGATGGCTCCCAACGAGCCCTCACCCGGCGCTCCTGCCCCGGCGTTGTCCCCTCCGCTTATCTGGGCCAGCCCTATGATCTGTTCTTGAGGAACGTGATGGAAGTCGTGCCACAGCACTTCCAAGCCAAAGCCACAAGCAGCGTGTAAGAAACAAAGAGAAGTCAAACAACATGGAAGCGGTCAGACTACAGCCTACCCTGAGAGTGCCACGCTGTGGGGGGGGCACGGGCTGGCCACCGGAAGTGGCCACGTGGAGACAGGGAGAGATGTCCAGTGGCCCCCAGCTCTCACAGCCATCCCAGCTGAGGCACCAGATACATGAGGGAAGAAGCCATCTTGGATGCCCAACCCAGCTGAGCCTTCAGACGACTCCAGCCCAGCCACATGTGGCGGCAACTGCACAACAGACACCAAGAGAACTGCCCAGCTGAGCCCAGTCGAGCCACAAGACCACGAGCGGTAACAAAGAGCTGTGTTCTGGGCCATTAAGGCTGTGGCAGTTGGTTAGGCAGCAATAGAGAATTGAAACAGTCGGTAATTTAATGCCTACACAGCCCTCCGTGGGAGACATCATCGTCCCCATTCAACACATGGGGAAAAAAGCCCAGAGAGGGATGTGACCCGAGGAGGTTCACACGGCCAGCCAGAGGCAGCAGCGGGCTCGGAACTCAGGCGGGTCAGCCTGATCCCCCAGCCTCGGCTCTTTCCAGAGCACACGCCTGGCTGCCCGAGGAGACCAGACCTTGCAGCCAAACCACATGATTTTGGCCAAATTCTCTGTTTGAGAGGTTACTGGGGTTTTCCCCAGGTGGCTCACCTGGGCACCTGCTGGAACCCTGGCTCTTTTTTTTTTTTTAACTGAGACATGGTTCACACACAAATGCACAAATCGTTAAGTGCACAGTGTGGTAAATTTTTACATGGTATCCAGCCATGTGACCACCACGCAGATCAAGACATGGAACATTTCTGGCACTCCAGAAAGTTCCCTCGTGCCCACTGCTCGTCAATGTGCCCCGCCCCACCCAGAGCCGAGAGGTACCCACTGTTCTGATGCCTATCGCCACAGGAACAGCTCTGCCTGCTCTTGGACCTCATATAAATGGGATCGTGCAGTGTGTGCTCTTTTGTGGCCGGCTGCTTTGGCTCAACATTATGTCCAGAAGATTCATCACGTCACCCTCTCCGGTCTTCACCATCTTAGCCACAGCCCTGCGCGTCAGACAGCCCCGGCCGGGCCTGCAGCAGCTCAGAAATGGGGCCTGTTCCCAGCCCCACGTGTGGCCAGTATCAGCACAGCCAGCCAGCCGTGATGAGGCCTCCCAGCCCGGTGGGCCTGGAGTGGCCATGTCCACTGCCCCGACCCGACCCCCTGCCCAGGGCTGGACAGGACTTCTGGGTACAGCCTCAATATACGGCTGGGGCTGAAAGATACCCAAATTGACGGAGAAGCAGATTAAGGCTCAGAGAGGGGACGTGGCTTGCCCACGGTCAGCCAGGGGTGAAGTCTCAGCGCTGGTCCTCTTTCTAAGGCCTGGGCCCAGTGCCCGCCCAGGACTTGTCAGACTCTGAGGTGCACGTGGATCGCGGGGGCCGTGTTCAAGCGCAGCAGGCCGGCTGGGGCCCGGACCTGGTATTTCCAACAACTCCCCAGCTCGTGGCTGCCGCTGGTCTGCAAACTCCACATGGAGCTGCAAAGCCGTCGCCTGGCGGAGGAACTAGTCTCAACTCCACCCTCAGAAGCCCACAGGCCACCCCCGAGGAAGGGTGGAGCGCTGGCGGTGTGGCTGATGAAGCCGCTTAAGAAACCCCGACCTCCACGGCCCGCCCTGCCCCAGCCATCTAGGACACCAGAGCTGCCGGAACATTTTATTAAGTTAAGAAGGCTCATGGAGCAGAGGAGAGACACCTTCACGGGGTGGCTCCAGCGCTTCCACGCCCAGCACCTCCAGAGGAGGAGGTACGGCCTGGGGACAGCTGCTGGCTCCCTCTGTCCATCTGTCCCTCCGCCAGAGCCCCAGGGTGTGGGTCCCCCAGGGCAGGAAGTAGTTAGTGGGAGGTAGGGTGGCTGGCCCCCTGCCTCTCCCACAGAGTCCACCCTGCCATGGCCGCTGCTGGGCCCCCACCAGACCCCGGGCAGGGCCACAGGCCCAGAAGCCCAGGCAGGTGGCTGTAGACAGAGCCCAGGCCAGTGTGGAGGCACACGGCCACCAGGTACTGCTTTTTAAAAGGTATAAAGTGTTTTGGGGAAAAAATTCTATATAAAAATCTCTTCACATATAAAATCCTGAAGAAGGTGCAAGATAAGACCCAGTGCGAGGGGCGCGCTCAGATACGCAGAGTGTGTGTGTGTGTGTGCGCCTGTGTGTGTGTGTGTGTGTGTGTGTGTGTGTGTGTACGTGCGGCCCACAGAGGGTGGGGAGAAAGCTTGGCTTCTGACTTCCATCCAGTAGGGAAGGAGGGCGACTGGTCCCCTTGGGCGGGGGGTCTGCAGCGGGGCTGGACCACGAGGACCTGGAAGACAAGAGCAGGGGAGCTGAGGGCTGGGGAAGCCCCAGCCTTGGCCCTGGCCCCTGGCTTGGGCCAGGCAAGGGTGGCCAGTAGGTCCTTCCAATGCCTCTCAGCCCAAAGGCCAGATCTGCTCCTCTGGGCTTCTCCCCAAGCTTGGCCCACAGGGTGGCCTCTCCTACATGCCTTAGGAAGTCCACAAGGACTTGTCACGAAGAGGAAGCTCCAGGCAGATGCGGCGTTAGGGAAAGCACCATAAAAATGTTCCAGACCCTGCTAACTCAAGGGTGACCCTGAGACTAAGGCGGGCAGAGGGCCGGCCTCCATCAGGCTGCGGGGGTGCAGCTGGGCGGAAGGCATTCTGTGAGGATCAGGCACCCGGGTCTGACGGCTGGGGGTGGAGAGGACGCGGGAGCCTGGGCAGATCAGCCAGGGGCGCTGTCAGCCCTGGGCAGGGGCGGGGCCTCATCAGGCTGCGGGGGTGGCGCTGTGTTAAGAGCACCCGCTGTCACAAGGGGAGACACAGCAACAACCAGATCCTGAACCGCACTTCCCACCCATGAAGGAACGTGCTCAAGTTTACAAAATGTACCCTGACTGATCCCCACGACAACCCCATGTTGCTGGTGTCACTGAGCCCATTTCAGAGAAGGAAACAGAGGCCAGGAGAAGGAAGTGTCCTGGCCCGAGTGGCACAGTGAGTCAGGTGAGGATGAGCCTGGAGCTCACACCTCCAGGCCCGGTGCCCCGCCCGGCCTCACCCCTGCCCACCCCTGGTAGCCACCCCGTGGCACCTACCTCTACTCGGCCAGGCTGTTGCGCACAGCCTCCTTTTCCTGCAAGGCAGCCATGGCGAGGCGCAGGTGCTCCTTCAGCTGCTCGATCTCCCGCTCTGACCGTGTCTTGATGTGGTTCAGCTCCACGTACACGTCCTGGTACTTTCCCGAGGTGAAGCGCTTGTCCTGGGGGCCAGGGGGGCTGTGAGGGCAGAAGCCCTCCCTGCCTGGCCCTGTGCCGAGGCTGGACAGCAGCCCTGCCCACCTGGCACAGGCCCACCACGCTCCCTCCCAGCCAGCACAATGCAGCCAGGCCCCTCCACAGCCCCCTGGGCCTTGTCCCTCCAGGTGCCCCCCGGGGCGGCCCCCACCCCGGGCCTCCCCTCCCAGCACCCCCCAGTGACACAGGTGTGGGCATCATTTTCATCCCGCTCGAGATGAGAGCAGAGCCTCAGGGAGGTGACGCTGTTGCCCAAGGCCACACGGCCAGGAGGGGCTGGGATGAGACCCAGCTTAGCCTGGCCCAGGGCCAGGGCCTTTTCCATGAGTCTGGCTCACACGCTCATAGAGCCACCAGCACACAGAGGGTGTCAAAGGCACAGGGACATGGCACCAAGCTGTCACCGACGGGCCACAGACGCACAGAGCTGAGCCTGAAACGCCCGGCCCTCCCAATGGCGGGGCCCGCAGCCCATTCCTCACGGAGCAGACGCTCCGCACAGGCAGGCTGCCTGTCCCGTCCTGGGCTCTCTCCCAGCACCTCGCCCAGTGCCTGACACACAGGAGGCACTCCGGGAATATTTGCTGGTAAACGAAAGCAAGTGCGGCCTCGGGCAAGGCCCCTTCCTTTTCTTAGCCTCAGTTTCTCTGTCTGTAAGTGGGGATAATGACACCTCTGTGGGAGAGGCTGGGCAGAGCCAGATGAGAGGAGGAGGGGGGAGTGGCCAGCACAGAGCAGGTGCTCACAGGACGGGCATTCAGGTAGATCAGAGGTTCCCCCGCCCTGCGGACCCCCGCCCGGCCAGCGGGCCCTACCTTCTGCATCATCTGGAGCTCGTCCCGGAGGCATTGCACCTCCTTCTTCAGGTACTGAAGTTCGTTCTCCTTCACTCGCAGCAGCACCTGGGGTCATGGGTGCCAGGCTGACCAAAGGCCAGAGGCCAAGGCTACCCTGACCCACAGCACCCTGCTGCCTGGCTTCTCCTTGCTTCAGGCCCCAAGAGTGCAGCTCCCAACCTGCACCAAGACCCGCTCCACCTCAGGGGCAGACTCCTCCAGGAAGCCCTCTCTGATTTCTCCTCGCTCCCTCATCTCTGTCCACACCATGTGAGTGGGTATCTTATGGTCACCTCAGCTGTGGCCCCAACACAGTACCAGGCCCTCAACTTGAGGGCAAAGAGGACGAAAAGAAGCCACAGTGTGATGCTACTGTGAACCAGAGAGGGCTGGGCCTCCCTGCGGGCCCTCCTTAACCCCTTGCGAAACCCTGAGGGCCAGGTGTTGCTATGCTGACCTGACCAAGGAGGAGACAGGCTCGGCCTGTTAGGAAGATTCAACCAACTAACCGTACACAGGGCTTACAGAACTGCCAGGCACAGAGGAAAGCTGCATATAAACTTTAGTTAAATAAAACAAAGACTCAGGTGATCCTGGGATCACACACACATTTTCTCACTCCAGGTTCTCCAGGTAAGGGAGGTGCTAGCATCATTTTATAGATGAGCTACTGGGGCTCAGAAAGGTGAGGTGACTTGTCATGGTCACACAGCAGGGAGGTGGCAGGACGCAGACGGGAAGGCTGGGCTCTGGCTGCAGGGCTTCCGCCCCACCCAGTAGTGCTGGGCACACACAGGTGTCCTTCCTAACTGCGGGTGCCTTTCCTCACTGGGGCCTAGCCCCTCGGAGCCACAGTGCTCCCGCTGCAGGGCACACCCAGCCTGTCGGGTTGCCAGCCCCAGGCCCCAAGCCGGCCGGGTGGCCTGGCAGGAGGGGCGGGCGCTCACCTCCAGCTCACAGGAGCTCCGCTCGCTGCCGCGCCCACAGCCACTGCCTGTGCCCTGCGAGGCGATGAAGCCGCGCAGCCGGTCGATCTCCTCTGACAGGCGGGTGTGCAGCTCCTGGGAGGGGTGGGGTGGTCAGTGCAGGGAGGCTGGACCGCCCATTCCCCTCCCCACCCCCACCGGGACCGGGATTGCCCATCCCCAACCCCCTACCCCGACTGCCCATGCGCCACCCCCACCAGGGGCCAGGACTGCCCACGCCCCAAGCCCCAACACACCGTCCACCCCCGGAGCGGGCCCACCTGGTTGTGGCGCAGCAGCTCCTGGCCCTCCTGCTGGCAGCGCCGCAGCGTGTGCTCACGCTCCTCCGCCTGCCGCGTCAGGGCCCCGATCTCCAGGCACTTCTGCGAGTACTGCTCCGACAGCACCTGCAGCTCCCGCTTCAGCGCCTCCACGTCTGACCTGCCGGGGCGGAGCAGGGCCAGGATGGCTGGGCTCTCCCGCCCTCCACCAAGCCCGGAGTCGGGTCATGGCAGCCTCTAAACAGCTCAGGACTCCTGGGTTCCCGCCCTCCTTCTGCCTTCAGCCCACTGTGGGGCTGTGAACTGCTGACAGCCTCTCTGGGCTGCACGAGCTCCTCTGTGAGAGGCTGGGTTGGAGGAGCCCATCTCCAAGGCCCCCACAGCCCCACTGTTCCAGATCTGTGCTCGGGGTGGGAAGGGACACCTACTGGCCAAGGGTGATACTGCAGCCCAGCTCTAGGGGACACTAAAGAGGAGAAGAGGAGTGTGGATGCTGAGTCTGGGTAGACAAGAAGGGGCCTAAAGAACTGTCTATGTGGACTGGCCTGGGGGTCTGGCTGAGGCCCTGCTGCTTCTGTACCCTGTGCCACGTGACTGCAGGAGGAGTCTCAGCTGGGGGCAAACTGACGTGTCCTCTGCCAAGAGGTTTCAGCACAGGTCCCGACTTATAACCACCAGGGTGGACAGCTGGGCCCCTGGCTCAGATGGAGGCCCAGCCTACAGACCCCAGGGCCAGGTGCCATCTTACTGGTGCTGCTTCCGGAGGCCGTCCGGGCCCTGCTGGAGACTCCGTGTCTTGCTCAGCTCCCGGCTCAGCTCCTCCTGGTAGGCCTTTTTCATGGCTTCGATGGCTGGAAGCAGGCAGAGAGGTTCAGGGGAGACGGAAGTGGGGTCAGGAGCACCAAGCTCCACCTCCCCTGAGACTCCACATGGACCATGGAGATAGGAGCAGGGAGTGGTATGCAAAGAGCACTGGACCAGGCTGTGTCTTAAACTGAGTGGCTTTGGGTAAGTTGCTTAACCTCTCTGAGCTTGTCTATCAAGGGAGGATAACAAGCCTGGTCTGATGGACCCCACTGGGGAGACACCTCAGTGTCTGACCACTGGTACCTCTTGTTAGTGATTTCTGGGTAAGACCCCACACGGCCCTCCGTGCAGAACCTGGAGGTTCTTTAACAAGGTACATCTGCCTTGCCCAGCCTAGTGACCAAGAGTGCAGACTCTGCAGTTGGTACAAATCTGTGTGACTTTGAACAGGGGGCTTAACCCCTCTGTGCCCCAGGTTCCTTATCTGGAAAACAGGGATAACAGCACCTCTGTCATGGGTTATTGGAAGATGTGTCCAGGGCATTTAGAACAATGCATGGCACAGAGGAAACGCCTGGACGTTAGCTCTCACTGGTTTATTTTTCAGACTGTGAGCTCCCAAGGACCGAGTCTTTTCACGCTCACATGAGGTTGTTGTGAGGATTAAACAATCCTCATCCACAGTCTTATCCATAATTCCCAAATCCAAAAGCTCCAAACACTGAAAGTTTTTCATAAGTCTTTTGGTGGCAATCCCCAACCTGAACGAACACAAAGCTATTTGTGGTCATTATTATCCCACTTAAGTGTGACTTTGAGAAATTTCACTGCAAAAACCTTGGTGCTAGATTTCAGGGTGAAGCCCAGACCCTGCTGGGATGGGGGGATATCTAATAAACGCACTGGGCTATCTTCCTAAAATGCAAAACACACAGGCCCCCAGGGTGCGGGATGAAGGGCCATGGGCTTGAGTGTGTGAAGCCCTTGGCAGGTGGCAAGTTCTAGATCATGTGACCTCTTTCATCATTTCCATTATTCTGCCAACCCCACGGCGCACCCCTAGGATGTGCCAGGCACACACAGCAGTGACAGAGCTTGAGCATTCCTGTTTCTGGCTTGGGAGAGCAGAGGGCAGGCTTCAGAGCATGGTTTTGCAATCGGAGTGCCCTGGGCTCCGACTCCAGCTTCTGCCACCTTCAAGCTATGCCCATGCGGGCATATGGGCATATGGGACAAGTCACGAACCTCTCTGAGCCCCCGTTTCCTCATTTGTGAAATGGGGTCACTCCCTTAGGCACTGCAAGGACTGGGTTATGTCACATGGGTGCTGAGGCTCAGTAAACACCCCCCCCAGCCCCGAGTCCAGCCTGTGTGCCCAGTGAGGCTGTGGCCCTCCTGTGAGGACAGGTCTGTGGCTGAGCAGTCCCTCCCCAGCACACTTATGGGCCTGGGCGTGGAGCTGGAGATGGTGTATGTTGGGGGCTTGAGGTGGACCTCCCAGTGGCCACAGGCCCCTGAGGGTGAGGAGTCACAACCCATTCTGGGAGGGGGGGGTTTTACTGCCTCAGTTTCCCCTTTTCAAGTAGGGTCAGAGGCCGAGTTTTGGGGGCTTCCAACCCCTCCTGACCCTTTAACCCAAGTTTGGCACTGAACCTGCACCTCTTATTTAAAGGCCTCCTGAGTCCAGTTAGGAGAAGCCTCAGCCTGGAGGCTTGTGAGGCCCAGCCCCCCGTGCTGCTCCTGCCTGGGGTCCTCACCTGAGGCTGTGGCTGCCGTCTCCTCGGCCAGGAGCCACTCCTTCTCCTGCTGCAGCCGCCGCAGCTCGCGCTCATGGTGCCGCTGCAGCTCCTCCATCGCCTGCTGGTGCGAGGACTCCATCTCGGCCAGGCTGCGCTCACACGCCTCCTGCGGGTTGGAGGCCGGGAGGTCATGGGGCTGCCCTGACTGCCAGGAGAGCGGCTCTCTCCCAGCCTGGGGCAAAAGGCCTCAGGGGAAATCCTGCCCTGGTCCGGGCTTCAGCCCTCTCCCTGGACCCTGGCACCACCAGCCTGCACCTGCCCCCGAGCCGCAAACGTCACCCTGTCACTTACCAGCTTCAGCCCTTCCAAGGCTCCCAATCCTATAGGGTCAAGTCCCTGCTCCTGGGTCTGACCCTTGTGGCCTCATCCCTGGCCCTTCCCCCAAGAAACCCCATCGTTATGAAAACAGTTCATGGCAGGTTCACGCCTCTGAGCCTTAGCTCATGCTATTCCCACTGCTGGGAACATTCTTTGGCAACTTCCTCTTCCCAGGTCGTTCACTTGGCCTGCAGCCCAGCTCAAACGTCCTCCTAGCTCTGTCTCTGGGCAGCCTGTCTCCTGCCTCAAGAGGCTCTGCTTCGGTCAGGACGTAAGTTTCCTGAAGACGGGGAAGGTCTGACCTAGCTTGGAGTCAAGCCAGCACCTGACTGTGGCAGGTGCTGAGTGAGTGAGATGACATCACAAAATGGGGCCGTGTCGAAAAGACTGGCAAGTACTTAAAAGACAGATAATACCCACTGCTGGGAGAGTCAACTGTGGCGGGGTGCATGGAGGGCAGTCTGGTGGCATCGTCACAGTTTTAATGACCCCATCCCTTGACCTGACAGGTCCACTCCTAGGAATGACCCCATAGAAAGTCACATGTGTGCAAAGACTCTTGGACAAAGGTATTCCCTATGGCAACATCGGTAACAGATGAAAACTGGAAACAATCTAATGCCTAAGAGGGGAGCCTTTAAATAAATGATGGGATCGCGCCTTACAAAGGACCAGGCAGCTGTTCAAAGACAGAGCCACCTGCGTGGGCGGCTGCGGAAAGCTGTCCCGAAAGTTAGGTGATGAAACCTGGCTTCTGAGAACACGCGCTCACGGAAACGAAGCACGCGGAGCCGTCCAGCCGAGAACATGAACGTGAACGCAGAGGAAGAGGAGGATGCGTGGGAGGAAGAGTAGTGGCCCCCCGAAGATGTCCACGTCCTACTCCCCAGAACCTGCATTACCTCACACGGCAGGGGGATTCGAGGCTGATAATCAGCTGACCTTAAAACAGGGAGACTATCCTGGGTTGTCCACGGGGCCCCATGTCATTGCAGGGTGCTTAGATGTGGAAAAGGAGGCAGGAGAGCAGAGCAAGAGGGAGAAGTGAGCATGGAAGATCAGCGTGACGGGAACAAGGAGGACTTCACTCTCCTTCACAGGCTTTGAGGACGAAGGAAGGGGCCACGAGCCAGGGAATGCGGGTGGCCACCGGACGCTGGACAAGGCGAGGAGAGGGATCCTACCTAGAAAGGAACCTGCAGGTACCTGGATTTTAGCCCGGCGAGACCCACGTTAGACTGCTTGCGGCTCTACAGACTGTGAGGTGACAGATGTGTATTATTTGTGTTTGTGGTAATCCGTGACAGCAACAGGAAACTATACAAATGGGCTCGAACGGTCACTGAGGTGACCCCTGGGGCAGGAGCAGGCAGGGCAAGGAGAGTTCACATGTTTATTTCCAACCGTTTGATTTGTTAGAATTATTTTTGAAAATGTAAACATATTTCTTATGTAATCTAAGATCATTAAAAAGAGAAAGGGAAGAGTCAGGGAAGAAACTGAGGCACAGAGAGCCAGATAAGAGACTGCATTCTCCCCCATGCCACAGGGCACCTCCTGGTGAGTGCGGACTGGCCTCTACCTCCCGAGCAGCCACCCCAGAAGGGCAAGGGCCTGGCCTCCCGGGTCCAGTGTTATGAGTGGTGGTGAAGTCTATCTGTCCCGCTGGCCTCTGCACCTGTCCTCTGTGTGTCCCCAGTTAGGACAACAGAACCTGGCTTTGGAGCCCCACAGACCAGGTCCTAGTGCTGGCTGTGCCATGCGGTGAACTTGAACAAGCCCTTTCCCCTCTCTGAGCCTGTCTCCTCACCTGTAACACAGGCCCCAGAAAACCAACTCACGAGGGTCCCTAAGGAAAGCCAGCACCCAACTGTGGAGACCACCCACCTGTAGAGACTGGAGCAATACGGGGGGGTGGGGACTGGTGCTCTTAAAGGGCCAGATCAGGCAGGCAGACCCAGCAGCTAATAGGGTGTCTGGAGGCTGATGTCAGGAGGTGGGAACCAGCCCATGAGGAGGGGTCCTAGAAGGCCAGGTGCTTCTCTGACCTACCTTCCTGAGGGCCCAGGGTGTTGGCTGCCACCGCTGACATGCATCAGAGTACAGATCCATGGCCCACGGCCCCCACTGCAATAGGCTGGAAGGCTCCCTTTGCCAGAGGAGGCACTAAAGCCGCAGTGGGTGAAGCCCACACCCTGCAGCTGCTGTCCCGTGGTGGCAAACCCCGCCAGCTGGAGGAGGGGCACCCACTCAGCCTGAGCTCCCAGGCTGGGGAATCCGTCCCCACCTGTCACCTGTCCTGGGCCCACTGAATTGCCTCCAGTGCCCGAGGGGACACAGATGGCTCAGCTCCTCTTCTCTGGGGCCTCCGCACCGGGGCCTCCTCCACCCCCGTCTCAGGCTGTCTCCTCATCATTCCCTTCTCTCCTCCCATCCCCAGATTCCGCCTGCTCCCCCTGCCCATCCCAGCCTAACGATGAAATGCTGATGGCCCTTGGAGTGCCCAGTGGGGCGCCTGGGCCCAGGAAGCCTGGACTGCAGACACAGGCCTGCCTCCAGCTTGAAGAACTCGCCGCATCTCTGGGTCTCAGTTTCCCCAGCTGCGAGCTGAGAGGTCAGAGCAGTGCTTTTCAAGTTTCATTTTAGTGATGGAAACCCTTTTCCAAAGGAAATCTAACGCAGGTGCTAATAGTAAAACGGACAAAGATGGAGATGCTCCAATTGCTGGTGGGAGTGAAGGGATCCATCTAGAAAGGCAGCCCCTGGGGCCTCCACAGAGCATGCTGGAAGCCCTCCGGGTGGGGGTCTCTGAGGTGGTCCCAGATGCCTCAAGCTGTGGTGTTGGGCCCCACCCTTCCTGGAGATGCCCCACCCACCCCTTCCTCTGGCATCAAGGGAGGCTTTGACAATAGCCTCCCTCCCCCCTTCCCCTCCCCATGTCAGGGGACCCCAAGCTCGCCCTCCACATCAGGCCCCATCTTCCCTTGGCCCGGGTCTCCCTTCTGCTGAAGGTCCCATCAACTTCTCAGCCCCAGACAGCCCCCTGGCCACGCACAGCAGCCCAAGCCCCAGGGCGCCCGGGGCTCCCCCTGGCTTCCTCGGGCCCAGTCACCCAGTCCCAAGCTCTCCTCCGTCCATGTACCCTCCTGCATCCCTCTCTCCTTCAGCCATTGTCCTTGCTCCTGACGTGGGCCTTGCCCCCTCCCAATCCCCCCCCACCCAACACCACCTTCCCGAGGTCACTGTCAGACCCAAACCTCCTCAGGTCTGCGGAATGAGACCCCAGCCCCCTGGCTTGGCACTGGAGGTGTCCACCATAGGCACCCATTGGCCTTCCACCTCCTGCCACAGCCCATGCTCCCCGCCCACCAGGGCTCAGCTGCTCAGCGCTCGCCCCCAGGAAGCCTTCCTGAGAGCCCTGCACCGCGACCTCCCTCCTCAGAGCTTCTAGAAGGTCCTCCTAACCAGAGCCTGGGATCCCAGCATTCCTTTCCGCTTCAGGCAATGCTGTGCTGACTGGAGGCAGCTAATTTTCAAATCTTTAGGAATGTTGTGATGCAGTTGCTAAGCACAACCATTATGAAAAATTAAATTATAGAAACTTTAAATTACAATAAAAACAAAGCAATTACTCAAAATTCATCACTTCCTGATTATTTCACTGCATTTTATCATCGTCTGTGCTCTCGAGGTTATTTACGTCTGTGTCTGTAGGGTGGGGATGCTCTATAACAGCGTGCACGTATCTTCCCAACTCCGTGTTCAGGGCCATCTGCCACCGTGGGGCATTTACGCATGGAAGCTGGTAGACATTACAGATCGGGGCTGGGTTTATGGTCTTGTTGATTGCCCAGACTTAAGCGAGTGAGGAGACGATGCTAACAATGCAGATTAAACTAAAAGTGTGCCGTATCTATGACCATCACATTGTCAACGGAACAAGAACCTGACACAATATTGACATTGACCAAGTAAAGCTTTGACATACGTCTTCTCATCTTACTCATTAACATAAACAAAAATGTCAACCAACGTTCACGTTAGAACGACACTCGTTTGTCAGTTAGCTGTGGGTACAAGCACTCGGAACAAACAGTCAAAGTATTCTGAGAAAAATCAGTTTGCTAAATGGAATTCACAATAAAACGTATTATGTATTTTTTATTTGTAAGTTGTGTACTAAACATCCTTTGTAGCAGTAAAATTGATAATGAACATATCTAAGTGTGGATGTATATACACACACGTATTTTTCCGTCACAAGTGTTTCCAGACGTGACCAAACGTCCCCAGGGGAACAGAATGAGCCCTGGCTGAGCGCGGCTGTCCTAGCAGCCTGTGCATCCCCCGAGGGCCGTGGAGACTCCCACGGCCCACAGACCGCCTTGGGCAGGGCCTCGGCCTGGCAGGCACAGGCAGGATTTGCCTATTTAGGCGGCAACCCCCAGGGCCTGCCCCTTGGAGCTCCCCCTCTCCCCTGGCTCCCCACTTCCCCAGGGTGGTGCAGGAGAAGGGGTCCGAGTGCACAGGGTCGCCTGGGGGCTCACACAGGGCTCTCAGTCAGCGGACCCAGGCTCAAATCCCACCTCTGACATCTCCAGGCCGGGAGACCTCGGGCAAGTCACATAACCTCTCACAGCTCAGTGGCCTTGTCTGTAAAATGGCACAGTGATCATGTCCACCCACTGGCGAGATTCAGCGGATGACGCATGTCATAGGCCTCACACGGGTCCAGGTACACAGGAAGGGCTCCCAAAAAGTTAGCTGTTTTCTGGAAACTTAGCAACCAGAAACCTGCCCCCATCCCCCACGAAACAGCTCCCCAGCCTCACCTGTGAGATGTAGCCTGGGGGGACGTGGCCGTCCTCCTGGGATCTGGGTGCACCCTGAGGGGCCTCCCCTTGGAGACGCCACACCTCCAGCTGGGCACGTAGAGACTGGACCTGAGAGGGGAGGAGCTGAGGTCAGTGGGGGCCTGGAAGTGGGGAGCGGGCTGGTGGGAGGCAGTGAGGAGCCGTGGGTCAGAGAAGGGGAAGTGGCCCTGGTCTGGAGATGTGGGCAAAGGGGATGTTCCAGCTGCTTCCTGGATGGCCAGGTCAGTGACCCAGGAGAGCTCTGTCCCAGAGAAGACCAGAGAGGGTTTGGAGACGGACACCGTGGTCACAGATATTTACCACATTATGGAGGTGGCAGGGGAAACGTCTTTGAGCCTCAGTTTCCCATCAGTAAAAGCATGATGAGGTCTACTCTGCGGGGCCACGAGACTGCTGTGAGGATTACATGAGCCAATGTGGGCAAAGCGGGCCTAGGACAAGGCTTGGTATGCAGAAGGGGCTCAATAAATGGTCTCTCCCTTCTCTTCCCGCTTCCTTTCTCTGTGGTTGCTGAGGACAGAACTAAGAAGGAAAACAAAAAACAAAAAAACCCACGGTCCAGGAAGGAAAATTCCAGTTCACAAGGAGTCTGAGGTGCCAGCCAGTGCATCTGGGGTGAGCTCCCCATCACTGTAGGTATGCAAGATAAATGGCACAGTGTGACTGCAGGGACAGGAGGGGTGTTGGTGGGGTGAGGGGCTCCCAGAGGCCAGCCGTGATGCCTACCTCCTTCTCCAGTGCCTCGTGGCTGTCACTCGGGGGCCCCCGGCGCTCCCCACGGCTTTGGTTCAGCAGGGCGGTCAGAGGCACCCGCTTGTTCTCCCGCAGGGGCAGCTTCTCCAGCTCCTGCCACTTCTTCTCGATCTCCTCGCTGAGCCGGCTCTGCTGGTCCTCAGTCAAAGGGGCGCCCAGGCTGCGGCGCGGCGCCTCACCGGCCGGTGTCTCTGTCGCCCTGCTGTCTGTGGCCTCGAACCACTTGCGTCGCTCCTCAGAGCGCTGAGCAAGGTCCCGCTCCAGCTCCTCCTGCTTGGCTGGACGGTCAAGAGTGCGGGCCGGGGTACGGGCCCGCTGCGGGGAGCCCTGCGTCAGCGGGGAGAGCTCCACATAGTCCAGGGATGGCCGCTGCCCATCTGCCTTCCGCAGGCCGCCGCCCCGGCTGATGACCTCGGAGCCCACGCGCGGCTCCCCCGCCTTCAGGGAGCCCTTCTGGGTGCCATGGCCATGCAGCGTGTTCTCCTTATTGCTGTCCGAGAGCCTAGGGCAGCAGCAGAGCCACATCAGGTGGGACCTTCCCCACTCAGGCCCAAACGAGCACTTCTGGAGTACCACCCAAGGGCCAGGGCCTGGGGATGGACCCCAGGGGAGGAAGCAGCCCCACCTGGAGGTCAGAACTAGATCTTCATCGTTAACAGCCCCGGGAACCATCCCAGCTCCACCACTTACCAGCAGAGGGGACCAGGCCATCTGGCTTCCCTCTCTGAGCCTCAGTCACCTCATCTGTCATATGGACAGTGCCTCTCACAGGAGGGATGAGGACCGGGGGAGCCAATGCATGCAAAGTAACCAGGAAGCCCTTTGCAAATGGCGACCAAAGCGTTATTACTAGAAGTACACGTGAGGCAGGGTCCTGGGCTCCCAGGGAACAGGGGGGATGCCCGTGGTCACTGCCGAGGCTGAGGTGAACAGTGACCTCTGGGTGCACAAAGCAGAGATGGTGGAGACTGAATAAGGTGGCAGCTCTCCTCTTCTTCCACAGCAGTAGCTGGGCACATGGTCGCCCAGCCCAAAACTACACTTCCCAGCATCCCCGGCAGCCACATGTGGCCACGTGACCACATTCTGCCCAGTGGGTGTGAGAGGACTGGGCGTGCCCTGGCCTGGCAACCTACAGTCCTCTGGCCCAGGGGCAGAGCTGTGAGCTGAGGGCCGCAGAGCTGTCCAGGCAGGTCTGGACTATCTACCTCTGGACTGTTCTGGAGAGAGAAATAAACTCTCCCTCGTTGAAGCCACTGTGTTTGGCTATAAACTGAATAGTCCAGCTGTACAGTCCTTCAGAGTTGACAAAGGGCCTCCGTGCACGTCCTCACATGACACTCGGCGTGACAGATCCTCAGCATGACAGATGAGGAATCTGAGACTCGACAAGAAAGCGACTGGCCTTGTTGAACAGCCAGGTGTGGCCAGGCGGGGGGACTCGCACTTCCGTTCCTGCTGCCCAAGAGCCACCAATGCAAGCCCCCTGTGGGCGGCCGGGGTTTATACTTTGGGGGCCTCTACCACCAGGTAACTCAGCCCTCCTGCCCCTCTACCCACAGCGACCTCCAGAGGGAGTGAGCTCCCACCAAGACCACCCAGCCATCCCTTCTCCCTACCACAGCCTTAGCCCCCACTGCACAGAGACAGCCACCCACCCAGCAGGGCCCTCTGACTCGCCAGCATCTTCTCCAAAGGGCCGAGGCTCTCCCCACCCTCTGAGGATGCAGGGGATATAAAGCGACGGCAGTCAAACCTCAAATCCTCAATGCGCTTCTGGATGACTCAAGAAGGCTCATTGCCCTCTCCCCAGTTTGTTGACAGAAAAACTGAGGCCCAGAAGGTACAGCCACAGGGCCCTCAGGTGAGTGCCAGAATTCCACTCAGGGATGCAGGGTAAGTGCCTCCCCCAGGCCCCTGTCCAGCCCAGCACGTACTTGGTGACGTCTGGGGCTGAGGTTGGGCGCACGGTCTTCCTCAGAGCTTCGATCCAGTTCCTCCGGATGCCCGAGGTCATGGCCGACAAGGTATAGACAGCATCCTTAGTCTGCAAGTCCACCCCACAGGCAGGTTGCCACCTGGCCAGCCTCATCACTTCGTCCCCACTGTGGACCCCGGGGAGGGGGGCCCTTCCCTCCCAGGAGGGTGTCTAAGGTCTCAAACCTGGAGGCGAGCAGAGGGGCACAACCTCCCTCCTCCAGCCTCAGAGGAGCCCGGCTGCTCCAGTGTCCCCAACATTCAAACCACCCCCGCCAGCGACGCCAGGATCTCCCTGGATGTGCTAAGTGTCGGCAGCAGGGCTGCTGCCTGGCTCTGAGGACGGTCTCTAAATAAATGAGTGACAGGAGCCAGTCTCTGACGGTGAGCCACACTCCACACCAGCCCCTCCTCTGGGGGCCCTCCAGTCGCCCGCCCCCCACCGCAGCAGCCTCACGTGGATCTGGAAGCCGTAGTTTCGCTGCACCGCGAATTCAGTGACATCCGTGCAGGAGCGCAGGTCGATCTCGCCATCCAGCTCGTCCGCCTGCAGCAGGAAGGCCCGCAATGATCCATGCTCTCCGCTGATCCCGCTTGAGCCCCCCAAGCTTCTCCCGGGGGCCCCCCAGCAACTGACGGGGGAGGAGCCCTCTCACTTCGTCTCACCTCCTCGGCCGTGGAGTCCCTGTAGTACTTGAGGCTTGAATCGGTCAACACGAACCAGTGCTTCTTCCACTGGAGAGGAGACGGGGCGGTGAGCGGGGGGTCGTGTGTGGGGAGGGCGAAATGAATGGGTGTCCTGGGCGCTGCCAGGTCAGCCATCCTGCTCACTGTAGGGCCTGGCACCCTCATGGCCCTGCTGAGGGGTGGGGGGCAGACCACAGCACAGAGCCAGAAAATCCACATTGGCAGTCAGCCCCCTATTTCTTCTCTGAGCCTCGGGGGCGGGGTCTGTGAAATGGGTTGGGTCAGTTTCTCCCGGCCCTGCTCTGATTTGGTGACCCTTCCATTCCCCTCCTGATCCTTTCCACCAAGATTGCCAAGGCTCCTACCAGCAGATCCCCCCAGTGCAGACCAGGAAGGGGCTGTGACCTGTGAAAGGTCATTCGCCTAGCAAGTCAGGGACACAAGTCTTTCCATGTGCCCCTCTGGATCGCTTCGGAGGCGAAGGACAAGTCCCCCAGTGAGTAGGATGGAAGGTGGCGTGGGGGAGGAGTCTGAGTGCTGGTCGGATTCTGTTTCTTGATCTGGGTGCTGGTTACGCGCCGTGCTCAGCTTGTGAGAATGCGTTACCCGTACACGCAGGGTTGGGCACCCTTCTGTGGTCTCTCTCTGCTCCAGCGGGGTGAGGCTGGCAGGACACGCAGGAGAGGGACGGGGGCACCAGAATAGCCTGACATGAAACATGCCAAACTCATCCCACCTCTGGGCTTCTGGCCATTCACTGGAATGCCAGTTGAGGTCCACCCACTGCCAGGGTCAGGACATGCCACCCAGTCCCCAGCCCTCCTGGGGCTCCCTCACATCACTGAGCCCTATCCACACTGTTTGTTATTTCAAGTACTTAGTTTTCTTTCCTCAAAAAGATGGGAAGTTTTCAAGGAAGGGTCAGGATGACGCTTTCTACTTCCTTCCACACTGCCCCTCCTAAGAAACAGGGTTTTAACATCCAACAGATCTAGGTTACAACTATTGTATCCCTTGCTAGCTGTGTGTCTTTAGTCAAGAGTCTCGACCTCTCTGAGCTTCAGTCTTCTGACTTGTAAAGTTGGGCCAATAAGGAGTCCCTAAGCCTTCTCATGAGGTCAGAAGTTCTGAACCCTCCCTTGTAAGTCTCTCACGGCACTTGGCATGGGCACAGGCACTGGGTTGTTGGGGACTGTTCTTCAAGGCTGGCCCTCTCAGAACCACCCTGCTCTCACTGAGGGGCCCAAGTGGCTTCTCAGGACCTCAACTGTCCCTCTATAAAGTGGGGCAGGGCTTCTATGCCAAATGACTTCTTTGGCCCTTCCAGGCCTAGTCTAGGACTGTCTGAGATGAGAGCTGGACCGAGCCCCGTGGGCATCAGGTGCCCCTAGTTCTGCGCCTGGAAGAGATTGAAGCCCTCATGGGCCTGTCCCCTGTCTGTGCACAGGGGCTGGGCTGGCTGAACTCCCAGAGCCCTTCCAGCTCCGACATTCCAAAACCCTGTAAGAGAATGAGTAACGGCCAGTTCTGGGTGGGGCCCATAATCTCTGCCCTTCGGAGACCCTGCAGGGGAGAGGGGGGTCACTGGCCGGGTGCCAGGCCTTGTGTGAGCCTGGAGCGCAGCCACCAGAGGACAGGCGAGCAGGCTTCGGGATGGAAAGCCGTGGGCTGGAGGGAATAAAGCATGTGGGTAGGAAACACAATGAGATTCCCTTTGGCTCTGAGCCCTCCCCGGCATGTGGCCTGCACGCAGACCAAGCTGCAGGCGCATGCAGGACAGGGGCCGGGAGACGTCCCCTCCCCAGTGGGGTGGGCAGGAAGCCAGCTCCAGCCTGGCAGCTGAAAGGGCAGAGGCAGTGAAAGGCCACCGTCCCTTCTGGTCCTAAGGATGGACACATTAGAGAAAGGGCAGTGTTATTAGCTGAGGCCCTAGCAGGCATGGGGGCTGTGTGGGACCCTTTACGTGCTTGACCTCTGTGACTCTGTTAACCACCCTGAAAACAATTGTCATTCTCCATTATGCCCATTTCACAGATGGGGTCACTGAGGCCAGAGGAAGCCATGACTCAACCAGTGGGGCCCCAGGTTGGTGAGACATCAAGCAATGTGCTTGAAGCCCCACCCCGGGGGCAGGGGGCTGTTGACGGCTGAGTCTTGGGAATTTGTACATGTCTCAGGCGGGATAACCTCTGTGAATCTTTCCACCCAGCCCCTCGGATGCCAGGAGGGCTCCTGGTGAGAGGAGGGCATGGGTGCAGGGCGTCAGTCACCCCGTCCCTGATGACTTTTATACACTGCAGACTACTCTAAGAGGCTGAGAGATGACCAGCAGCCTCTGTGCTCCCATCCCCACAGCCCAAGGCCCTTTTCTGTTGGACAAGAAACACTGTGCCCTTAGGATTCCCACTCTGGCCCCTCCCCTGCACCCCTTCTACCCAGAGGCCAGGGACAGGCCTGGGAAGCAGCTCAGCCTCCTGGGGTGCCCCAGGGACCCTACAGGGCACTGTGGCAGGTCACCCTCCTGCCCTCCCACTTCAGCCCTCCTACCTCTCCTGGCTCGTCCAGGATCGACATCCATCCTTTCTTGAAGTTGAGCAGATCAGGCTGTGGGGAGACAAGGAGGCAGATGAGTCAGCCAGCAGAGAACCAAAGGAAGCTGGGCAGGAGGGGGTGACTGAGTCTTGTAAGACTGAGGTCCTGGGAAGCCAGGAGAGAGGGCTGAGGGCCCACGTAACCCCCAAATCCAGGCTCCCCAGACACTGAGGCAGCCTTGGCCCCTTTCCCTAACATTCGGCAATCTCTGAGGGCCAAGAGCAGGGGGCCGCCGGGTGACCGGTGCACCCACCACAGCTATCTCAGCTCCCCTCCCACTGACCTCCTTCCTGACCCAGGAATAAGAGAGAGGGGGCCAGAGAACTCCACCTGCAAAGAGACCCTTAGAGAGCTCAGAACAGGCCGCACCAGCAGGCTGAGCAAACCATCCAGTTCCTCCCACTGATGAGGCTCACCAGGAAAACGCCTTAATGCTCCTGCCTACCCCCAACCCAGGGACCCTCCTGTGGTCCCACCAGCCCTGCTCTGCCCTCATCTCCTAGAGATCCTGAAAGATGGAGTCAGGCCAAGGCTGGGGTCAGAGATCCTCAGTTCCCCCCCATCTCTGGAAGGGCTGAGGAGACGGCACCTCAGTCCTGGCAAGCCCTACCTCCCGGGTGCTGCCCAGCGGGGCACGGCCCCGGGGTCTGAGGGCTCCCAGCTGCAGCATGTTCCACAGGGGCAGTGAGCTAGGTATGCCCACCTAGGCCTGCATGAAGAAGCTGCTCATCCAGGCATTTTCTCTGGCCTTGCCCATCTGGTGGGCGTCAGTCACCAGACCCCTCCTGCCGGCTGGGGAGACCGCTCTCTAGTCTAAGTTCTGTCCCTCTGCAGAGTCTCAGCTCCTGCCCACTGGCAGGGAGGAGAGCGGGGCAGGCCGGGCTGGCGGACGGGGAGGAGGTGGCCACCTGTTGCCATGGCTCTGAGCCCGCCTATCAGCACCTGCATCGCAGCCTCACCAGGCCAAGGTGTCTGGTTGCGTGGAGGGAGCAGGCAGCATGACTCGGGGCTGAGCAGCGATGATGACATGACGATAGCAGCTGGACACCTGGAATCCAGAGCCACCTGACCTGGCCACCTCCCCTGACCCGCCTTCCTCCCAGGGAGCCCTTCTGCTCTTCTTCAGGGGGAGGAAGTGGCCTGAGAGGGGCTTGGGCCAGCAGCCTGGACAACCAGAGCCATTCATAACCATGGCCATGGAACCAGGGGCCCTGGATCTCAGCAGGCCAGCAGCCCCACCCCTGCAATGCACCCCCTCCCTGCATACCTGTCTGAGGGAGGGGACTCGGGCTCTGCTCAGAGCTGGGAAGCCCTGGGGCTGTAGGCCCTGTCTCCCTCCCATGGGTGCCCAGGTCATCCCAAGCTATATTGAAAAGTGGTAGCCATGCTCAGGGCCACCAGGTCACCTGGGTTCACCTCATTCAAACTGGGACCTCCCGTGGCCCCGGGCCTGGCGTGCTGTGGCCAGGCCCCAGGGAAAGCCTGATGAGTCACAATGTACCCTCTTCTATCTCCCTGGTCTAAATTCCTGTGCTTTGGGGGCAGTCTCCACCTCTACCCCCTGGCCCTCAGGAGCCAGGCTTTCTGGGGTCACACGTGGAGCTGGCATCGCTGTGCTGACCCAGGGGAAAGCCCCCAGGAAGGACAAGCAGATGACCTAGCCAATCAGACTGCGTCAGGGCTAGATCAGCCAGAGGCTTCCAGAGCAATGACAGGCTGGGACCCCAAGGGCTGCCTGGGAAGGGGGTCACATCCCCTCCCTGAGCCCAGCTGCCTAACGTGGCAAATGATCGAGAGGTTCTGCCCTCCCCCAAGCTTTGCGAGAGGAATGAATGTGCCACATATGGAGAAGTCTGGTGACCCTCTGGAAGCTGGTACAAACACAGGAACGAGATGGCACGGTGACCTTGGGGAGAAGAGGCTGCCAACGTGAGTTTTAAACCTGCTGGCAGGGGAGGTCCTGCAGTCACCTGAGAACCACCCCGGGGTCAAAAGGTCCGATCACCTCAATCTCTCACGCCGCACCCTCGCCCACAGCTCCTCAGGCCGGCCACCCCCTCCACCTGCAGGAACCCTCTCTCTCCTTCCCCTCAGGCGGCCCGCCTTCTTCCCTTTGGCCAAGGCCACAGGTCGGCATGGCCTCCTGCCGGCCTGGACCATCCACACGGCCTCCTCTAAGCACACTCTGGCAGGGGGACCCACTCGGAAAAGCCTCGTGTCACAAGTCTGCTTAAAACCCCCAAGACTGGCTTCAAAACAAGGTCCCGCTCCCTTAGGATAGCACAAAAGTGTCAGTCCACCCGTTCAGCCTGGCCTCCCTCCTGCTTAGGGGGCCCCATGGTTATGTCACTACCCATCCTCTCTGATCCCAATACATCAGGACGCCGGGCCCTCCATATACGCCCGTATCCTGCTCCCGCTGACCAGAACCCCTACTCACGCTCAGACCCTGTTGGAGGGTCTTTACTGCCACCTCGGAGGCCCCCTTCCCAGTACACACCATAGGCCGTGCCAGCTGCCCTCCCCCAGCCTCTGTGGCATCCATGACGATCTTGAAGCCACTTACTTATCCCTCACAGGCTACATAGAGGCACTCACAGGCAGGGACATGTGCTGTTCACCCTCCAGGACCCAAGGCACAGAGAACGTTTGTAGAAATTTCTTTCTTTTCCTTTTTTTTTTTTTAAGCACCAGGCACTGTTCTAGGCCATGAGATCAACTGTGAATGAGAGCTGTGGCCCCTGCCCTGGTGGGACTCAGGAGAGACAGACAATAAGCAAGAAAACAGGTATATAATTTGCGGCCAGGCAGCAGCTGGGGAAGGAGGCTCGGGGGCGGGCTGCGCCAGCCCGGGGCAGAGGGAGGCAGCTCCCGGGGCCTGTGAGCACCGGCCCACTCACAGCACCTCTGCCACTTGCTCCATACAGATCCCTGAGGGGCCAGGAGAGAGGAAAAGCTGTGTGTGAAGAAGGCAGAGGGACACTAATCCCGAGCAGGCGCAGGTCTGCAGGCAGTCAGGATGAACCCAGCCTACACTGTCAGTGGTGATCACCAGCCTCTCCTCTGCCCCAAAACCGTTCATGGCTCCCCAGTGCCCCTGACGGAAGCCCGAGCTGCCTTTCCTGGCCTTTGAGGCCTCTTCCCGGCCCCTTGTCTCACCATTCCCCAAACATGACCGCCAGCCTTTGTCCACACTGTTCCCTCCGCCAGTCCATCTCCACCTGACAAAGTCCTGCACTCACAGGAGGCATCTCCCTCGGGAAGCCCCCTCCCACCAGCGGGGCTGTGCTGGCTGTGCTGTTCCTCCCCACGTGCCCCCACAGGCGCGGCCAGCAGCCTTACCCTGCTCAGCATGTGCCTCCCGGGGAGAGGCAACTGTGTACATTGCTTATCTGGCCCCAGAGAGAACTGGGCCAGACCTGGACACAAATTCTGGCTCAGCCGTGTCACCTGGGGCATGTTACTTCACCTCCCTATGCCTCAGGGTCCTCATCTGGCAGATGGGGAGTTACCACCAACCTTAAAGAGGCAGCTCCGGGAATGTGAAAGCACCCAGGCTAGGGCCTGGCAGGCACCCAGGGGGCAACGCCAGCCCCGCCCCCTGGCTTGGGGTGGGGGAGGCAGAACACTGACTCAGCTCCTCCCCCGACATCCCCCTCTGCTCCCCGCCGGGGAAGGGGAGGCTGCTGACGACAGGAAGGGCCCGCAGGGAGGTGGCAGGATGTGAGGAAGTCCAGGCAGAGGCCAGGTCATCACACTCACAGGGGCAGGGGCCATGGTGCCAATCCCCCGGCAGCCCCGCCCACTCCTGGTCAGGGTCTCCACTCACTCAACCTCCCGCAACCCCACCCTCCAGGCTGTCGGAGCCTCCCTAAGCACTAGTCAGAAACCAAAAGCAGCTCTGCCCCTCCCTTCCAGAACCTCACAATCAAGGAGCCAGACTGACCTAGAAAGAGGTTACCCCTTCCCTTACACTCGGGATAACCTCGGACAACTCACCAAGTCCCCTCCTCAAGCCTCAGTTTATCCGACTGTGAAATGGGGATAATGGTGAACACGGCTGTGCGGTGCAATACGATAACTGAGGCGATAACTTGTAGAGCTCGGGGAGGGCTCATCCCCAAGAGAAAGACAAGCCCCTGCCACCGTGTCCTGGACCCCCACTCGCGGGCTTGCCCCACCCAAGGCCCTAGCGCGGCTGCGACGGGGCAAGCCCGGGAGAACACGGTATCCTGCCGCTTGAGAAACCCCAGGATGGGCTCCCAGACAGGGCGGGACGGGGCGGCCCCTTCTCACCCACCCAACCTCCGGCCAGCGCCCACACGGGTGGGCAGCCTTCCCAGGCCGGGGCAGCGCCACCCATCCGAGCCGGGGAGCGCCTCTCTCCAGCCCGAGGCGAGACCCCAGCCCCGGGCCAGGCCCGTCTCCGCCCCTCCCACGGCCCGGAGCCCCGGGAGCCCCCGTGGGTCTGGCGGCTTGGAGGAATCGGATCAGGTCTTCACCAAGGGGGCTGGAGGGGAGGGCCACCCCCAAACCGTTCGTGACTGGTCCCGCAAAAGTGAGGACGGGGTGCCCGGGACGAGGCGTGCCCATCTCCTCGGGGTGACCTGGGCTTCTGGCCGGGGAAGGGGAGGCCGGCCGGCCGGCCCGTGGGCTGGGGCGCCCGTCTTCCGGCCGAGACCTCCTCTCGCCGCCAGGCAGTGAGGAAGGGGCGGCCGGGCTGAGGCTCGGGCTCGGGCTCGGGCTCGGGCCGCCGTTCTCACCCGGCCGGGGGCGCGCGGGGGCGCCCGGGGGCACTCACCGTCATGGCGGCGCCCCGGGGCGGCGGGAGCAGGAGGCAGGAGGGTGGAAGGCGCTCTCGGGCCGGGCTCCGCGGCGCGGGAAGCCCGCCGCCGCCGCCCCTCTCGGCCGCCTGCCGCCGCTGCTCCGGCCCTTCCCTTGCCCGGCGCTGCCCCGGCCCCTTCCATCCGCCCATAAAACTTTTTTTTTTTTCAAACTTCCTGGGAGGACCCGGGCGGGCCAATGGGCGGCCGGGAAGCCGGGACAAACAGCGGCGGGGGCTGCGGGCGGGCCAATGGGAGCGCGGGACGGCCCGGGGGCGGGGCCTGCCGCGACGGGACGGGCGCGCGAGGACCGGCGGATGGGGGCGGAGGGAGGCAGGGAGGCGGGCCGGGCTCCGGCCGCGGGCGCGCTGGGAGGAAGGAAGAGCCCGGCGCGCAGGTGACTCGGTCGGGCCACGGCGCCGAGTGCGGGGTGGGGGCAGCCGGGTGTGGCCCTGCGTCGCCCCGGCTCCGGTTCCCCGCCCCAGCCGCGAGCCACCGGACGGAGCGATGGGTCCACTAGGCCTCGGTGCCTCGGTTCGATGGAGACGTGGGCAAAGCAGCCAGTACTAACAACCCAGCGGCTCCCACTCCCCGAGCCCCGCTCGTTACCTGTGATCGACTTTCGTCCTCATCAAGACCTGACAGGGAGGTGTCCTGTCCCCTTCTTGCTAATGGGAAAACGGAGGCTCAAAGAGGTGAGCCGACTTGCCCAAGGTCGCACAGTAAGGAGAGACGGGATTCCTAGCACGAAATCTAAGCACAAAATGAGTTCTGGAATGGTAAGGCCTTCCCCCGATGCCCTCTCCTCACAAGCAGGTCTTTCTCGGCTTAGGAGTCTCATTTTGGGTTCTTGGGTGCGGGCGCACACCCGTTTCTCACGTTCCCAGAGCACTTAGCAGTTTGTGAGAGGCTTTTTGCCTGCAGGAGCTCATCTGAGCCCTGCAGCAGAGGAAAGACCTTGGTGGAATTTCTTGCTAAATGCATGCGGTAGCTTGTATGGCATTGTGACTCAAACCGTGTGTTAGCTTAAGCAATGTGCTTAACCTCTCTGTGCCTCAACTTCACCCTCTGTAAAATGGGATAATGCTGTTATCTCATGGGGTTGCTGTAGGATTATGTGTTAAATTAAGTAAAGCACCTGGAACAAACCCTTTATCCCCAGGTGGCTAGGGGACCTTAGAATAATTGCCATTTCAATTATTCTGCCATCTCAGTTTGGGGTTCAAAAATTATTGCTGTCAAAACTCTAATTACTATCCGCATGTCACAGATACAGAAATGGAGGCCCAGGGAGCTGAAGTTCTTTCCCGGCATTTCCCAGTGGGTGTCTCTCCTCCACCCTGAGGAATGAGGCCAAGGGTCAGCCCACCTTCCTCTCGACATGGCCTCTGGCATCCCCATGCTGTTTTCCCACCCCACCCCTGCACCTCACTCAGGCATCGGTCCCTGGGAGAGGGGGTGAACACACAGGAGACCTCACCTACCACCAGTGCCCTGGCCCAGAATCAGCCTCCTTGCTGGTTTGCTGGCCTCTAGGACGACCCTTCTAGTACCCTCAGCCCAGTGGTGAGACCGCGCCCCTACTCAGCGTTCTTCAACGCTTCCCCAGTGCTAATAGATCGGCTCTACGTTCTTGTTCCAGGGAGTCAGCGCCCGGCGTAATCTGGCCCCTGCCTTCTGTCCTCTGTCATTATATACACACATTTTACATGCTAGGGATACAGGGCGCTGGACAACTGGGAATTCCCAGAATAAGCCAGGTCTTTGTCCCTCGGAGGGGACGGCACATGTTGTTCTCTGCCTGTCTGGAACATTTCCCTTCCTGTCCTTCGTGCCCCAGCACATACACACTCTCTCTCCCCCTCACTCTCCCCCTGTCCCTCCCTCCAAATGTTTGCTTGCCTGGAAAATTCCTCCTCACCCTTCAAGTCTCGGTCCAAAGGAAGCCACAGTGCCCCGAGCGCAGACTTAGAATCTCCTTGGCCAGTGTTCCCCACCTCGACTCCCTGCCCAGTGCTCCCCGCGTCTGTGCATTCCCCCACTGAAGTGATGGCCCCGCTGTGTCCTAACCAGTTACATGGCATTGTCCTCACCAAACTGTGAGCTCCTTGTGGGGAGGGAGGGGGCGTTCTAGCTCAGAGGCCGGCCCAGGGCCTCAGCCCACAGTAGGTCCTTAGGAACAGGGGTCAAATGAAGAATGAGCAAATGGAGGAATGACTCCCTGACCACAACTTGCCCTGGAAGGACAGGATGGCACAGCCTCACGGAGCCGGGAGTGAGTTATTAACCAGAGCCACCAAATTTGGGGGTTATCCAGTCTCAAACCATCACTCTATTAAGGATAACAGTGGGAGGCTCAGAAAAGGGAGAAGTGGTCCAAAGCCACACAAGTGAGGGACGGAGACAACCCAAGCCCAGGCTTCCTGGCTCTTGGCTTTGAACTAGCGTGACTGTCCAGCCTGAGAGAGGTTTGAAGTTGCTCTAGGTGACTGTCGGCACGGCTCCACTGGGAGTTCCACCCCTCAGCTCCTGATTTTACTCATCCCCAGATGAGAGCACAGCTGCAAACTCACCGAGCCTCAGTTGCCACATCTGTCTAATGGGAAAATCCGTGGAGACACTCCGGGCTGCAAGGAGGGCCCAGGGAAATCAGGATGCACAGAGGTGGGGGGCTCTGAGGTCAGCCACAGCAGGGTTCAAATCTTACCTCTGCCCCTTGTGTGACCTAGAACAAGTGATTTCTCCTCTCTGAGCTTCCTTTCCACACCTGTAAAATGGCCAGGATGGACCGTACCTGCTATGCCTAGTGGCGAGGGTTAAATGCATTCAGGCATGCCGTGCAATGAACACAGAGCTGAGCACACTGTCGGTGCATAATACATGCTGGTGATCATCCCCAACATCATTATCCCAGAGTTCTTGTCCCCATGTCTCTCTTCCTCTCTCCACCAGGGACTCACCTGGCCCCTCCTGCCAGACCTGCTGCGTGTGGGTGACCTTTAATTACTCTGATAAGATAACTCACGCCCACAGCTTGTGGGTACCACCTGGTCACCCTCGAGTCTTAACCCCAGAGGGCAGCAGAGAGGAGATTCTAATGTGGAGGGGAAGGTTAGTTTTCAGAGGCCCCCACCATCATGGCTCTGTGCATCCTGATTTCCTGAGCCCTCCCTGGAGCCCTGAGGGTCTCCATAGATTCTCCCCGCCAGACAGATGTGGCAGCTGGAGCTCAGTGAGTTTGGCGGCCATCGTTCTCTTATGGAGGAATGAGGAAAATCAGCAAGAGGCTGGCTCCTCTAGACCCTGGCACTGCGGCCTCAGGCAAGTCAACTTATCCGAGCCTCAGTGCCTTCATCTGTAAAATGGGTAGACTGTCTCTAACATGGCCAGCCTAGTGCTGACCCAAAGCCAATGAGGGTACAAGAGTCGGCCTGTCACTGAGAGAAGAGACCCCACCAGCGTGTGGCCCCTGAAGATGGCCAGGCCCCTTCCCTCCCCCTGTGTAGGGGGCAGGAGGGAGCAAGTCACAGCTGCCTCCCCTCCCTGCCCTTGAGGAAACCCCGAACCAGAGGCCTGAGTGTTTACAGCCCTCTCTGGGCAGGGGATGCGTTACGTAATGCCAGATGTTTGTGAAACTGGCGCAGGCCCAGGTCTGAGACACACTTTGCAATCCCAGAGCCCCTTGCAGGCCTTCCCTTCCTCTCCTCCTTCCCTCCAACCTGCCTCCCCTCGGCCTAGTTGCTGACTGGGAGCTTTCGCCTGTGTAGATTATTCACTCACCCCTCACCCTGAGAGCTGAAGACAGCCCAACCCTGCCCTGGCGGTGGGAGATGCTGCTCAGAGCAGGGACCACAGGGCGGCTAGGACTCTGCCGCCATCTCTCCTTTCTCGTGCATGCGTGCGTGCGTGCGGGGCCCCAAATCCCTCCCTCTCTCCCCCACTCTCTCTTCTTTGACTAACCTCCCCCTCCCCTACCCCCTCCCCTCCATCCCCGCTCCCACCCCACTGGAGCCAGCCTACCCTTTGCCACCTGAGGACCCCCAGAGACAGCAGGAACGGATTGAACAGCGTGGGACGGTCCCCGGGCATCCGCCATGAGGTCACCAGTCGGCCCTTGAGCAGGCTCCCAGGCTTGCCCTCCGCTGGCCTCTTGTCTGCCTGTCAAACAGGGTCCAATGTTGGCCCCCAGGTCCCTTTTGTGGGATGGGGGCATCCCTGACTACAGCCTCCCCTGCCCATTGTGCCATGCCCCCCTCAAAGGCCCAGGGCTCCCATCTTCCTCCTCTCTCCGAGCTGCTGAGAAAAGAGCCTGTTAACTCGTTCACACTCCATGGTGTTTGACAGGATTCCTGCAGCTGCAGCCTCGAGGACATGCGCTTCACCCCTCAAGTCAAACCCCAGGTGGCCAGCGGGAGGGCGGTGCAGGCCACCGATGTGGGCTCAGCCTGCGGATAGTTTTCAGGTTACTTTGCGTTGGGTTCCAGTGTTAAATAATCAGGAGGTTGAACATATACTTACATACTTCTAATTTCTCTCAAAATATCTAAGGATGGGGAGACTCTGGACCCCTCTTCCCCGTGGCAACAACCATCTGAAGCCAAGGGGTCATACGAGGGCCCCCCAATCGCAAGTCCCCCTTCTGCCTACTCTCCTCACCTTTGCGAAAGGAATGAGTCACAGACTTCCACAGCACCCCCAGCATAGCCCCCAAAAGGCACCCCCTTAGGAGTCATCCTTGTTGGGGAAACTGAGGCCCCAACGAAACTGAGAGACATTTGCCCCAAGTCACACAGCAGGTCACTGGCAGAGGCGGGACAGAGTCCAGGTGCCCAGCTCTCCAGAATCCAGAGATTCTCTGGAGGCAGGATGTGAGGCATCGAAGCACAGGTCCAGGGGCTTTAGGGGAAGGCCTGTCCCCAACCCTGCCACCACGTCCCCCATCACAGCCCTGACCGCTAGACCGTGAGCTCCATGCTGGCGCCGGAGCTCACCTCTGGCCCCCAGTTAGGCATGCAGAAGGCGGTCACTAAGGCCATGTGAGAGAATGAATGAACGAGGCAGTTATCAACTGTGTCCGGTCCAGGCTGCCTGGGGGTGGATGGAGAGGTTCTCCATTTGTTGGGACAGCCCGTTTTGTGGAGACTAGAGGGGGACCCCTGTACTGCTATTTCCTCTTTGTTCACAAAACTCTGGCTCCAGGAAGTGTGAAGAAATAACCCAGAAAGAGGAAGAGCGACGTTGCAGGAGCCGCCATGAGAGCTGGAAGTGCCTTTCGCGATCAGGCTCCTGTTCCCTCCCACTTCCCAGAGGGGAAGACTGGCCCCCCAAGTGCGTGGAACCCAGCTGCAGCTGCTCGAGGTCATGCAGGGAATCAGCCCAGCCAGGGAGCAGTGGGGGCGGGGGAGCAGGGAGAGGGTCCTCGGCCCTGGGTTCTAGTTTGAGGCCAGCCACCGACTGGCTGAGTGACCTGGACGTCTCCCCTGCCCCTTGTTTCCTCATCTGCGCAGGGAGGGGTCGGGCAGAATCCCACCAGCTCTGACTCGCAGCAGGGCCAGACTCGGGGGCTCCAGCTGCCCTTCAGAGGCTCCCCCCACCCAATCACACCTGGCTTCTCAGGGTTAGGTTAGGACAGGGAACAGCAGAACGGCAGGATGAGGAAAACACAGCCCCGACAGCCGGTCTCCTCCTCCCCGCCCCCCGCTACCCCAGGCCCTCAGCTCTGACCTCACCTCTCTGGAGGCTGAGGGTGATGAGAACAGTCTGTTTGGCAGGTCGTGGGGAAGGGAGGGGCAGAGCAGTGCACTCCAGCTGCAGCCAGGCCTCAGAGCAGCCTCAGTGGGCCCCACCCCCTGCATACATCTCTCCCACCCCAGGACCCTGGAGACCCTCCCGGCCCGGCTGACTGCGGCACCTCCTCATCCCTCTTCAACCAGCTCCTGGAAGCCCTACCCTTTCTCCCCGCCTGGCCAGTCCTCCAGAACCAGAAGGACCTTGCTTTCAGAGACCATAGGGGCCAAACCTCCCTTTGCCCAGGGAAGGACGGTGACCTTTTCAGGGCATCCTAGTAAGTTAGAAGCAGAACCCTGGGCTTTGGGCCCCAGAATCGTCCACCCACCCTGGTCCCTGAGCCAGAAGGTGGTTCTGCTGCCCAGCTCCTCCAGAGCCCCTCTTCTCAAGGCCCCACCAGGCACACAGATGACCCCATGGCAGAGCCAACTCTGGTCTGGATGATCCCAGAGCTCATCTGAGGACCTCCGCCTACCTCTAAACTGATTTCCCTCCCCTTCCCCTCCCTACGGCCCCACACCCACAACCCAACTACCGAGTCTGTCTGCTTCTCATCAGTCAGTGAGTCTTGGCCTCTGCTCGGTTCTGACTCTTCAGGCTCCTCTGGTTGGAACTAGAGATGAGAAAGAACACAGCTTAGCGCAGGCTATTGCCCAGGGTTCTTCCACCTATCCACTTTCTTATCCATCCACTCATCATCCATCCATCCAACATCCATCTAGCATCCAACATCAATAGATCCATGTATCCATTCAACCATTCAACATCCTCTTACATTATCTACCCACTCATCTATCCAACATCCGTTATCTCTTTTATATATCCACCCTCTTTTATTCATCATCTATCCATCCATCCTACATCCTATGTACCCTTCCTCAATCCATCCAACATCCTTTCATCCATCATCCATCTATCCATCCTTCCAACATTCATTCACTATCCATCCATATTCCACAACATTTACCCATCCATGTAACATCCATCCATCCATCCATATTCCACCCAACATTCATTCATCCATCCATTCATCATCCCATCCATCATCTAAGCAATATCCATCTATCCAACACCCACCCTCTGTCCATCATCCATTCGTCACCCATCTATCTGTCCATCCACTCATCTGTCATCCATCCAATATCTATCCATTTATCATTTGTCCAGGGTATATCATCTGTCCACCACTCATTCACACATTTGTCATCTGTCATGCATCCATCATCCATTGACCCACCCATCCGCCATCTGTTGCTTGCATGCACTCAAGCATCCATTTATTCAGTGATCAATGAACAGGCATGTGGTGAGTGAAGAGGGAAGGGAAGAGCATCCTAGGCAAGGGGAACAGCATGTGCAAAGGTAGAGAGATATGGTACAGAGCTCTGCAGCCAGCTCAGCATGTCTAGAGGGTAAATCTGGGGTGGAAGGAAGGCCAGGAGGCCTTGAATGCCATGCCAAGGATTTTCATAGAGGGTGAGCAGCTGGAGCCCCAGCAGGAACTAGTGACTGCCTCTATTGTGTCATCTTTGAAATGTCCTTAGCCACCTGATGCCCCAGCCCCACCCAATCACCATCTCCTAACATCCCAGGGACCCCTGAGCCTCACCATGGAGTAACTCTAGCTGAAGATCCCTCTGCCCTCCCCCCTCCCATTTGCCCAGGCCAGCCTGCAGCGCCCCGGCATCCACTGGGACACAGCCTCTGGCCCTCCCTGAGCAGCCTGTGGCCTGCCTGCCTCCCTAACAAGCCTGACAGCAATTTGGGGGCAGGACCAAGCTGGCTCATCACCACATCTCTTGTGTCTGTGCATTGAGCTAATGAGAGGAAATCAGCAAAAGCCACAGGTAACTAAATACGGGGAGGTGGCTCCCCAGTCCCGCCGTGGGCTCAGAGCCTTGACAACTTCGTGGTCAGAAGCTCGGGCTTTGGATCGACTTGGATCTCTTTTCTCATGACTTATGCTTGTGTGACCCATGGGAAATCCCTGACAAGTCTGAGCCTCAGTTTCCTCATCTATAAAAAGGGAACAGTGGCAGCTGCCTCATGTCTAGTGGAGGCATGTATGACAATGCATGTGAGGCACTAAGCCGGGCCCCACACACTGTCAGCCCTCCCCCATCAGCCATGGGGAGGCGGCACACGTGGCGATGAGCAGGGTCTGGAATAATGAGCAAGAGCCTCTGCGTCATCCCATGGGGCCTGTCAGGGAAGTTGGTCCCATCTTACAGGGAAGACCGGGGCTGAGAGAGGCTGGGTGTCTGAACCCATGGGCTGCGTTCCTGGGGAGCTGAGGCCGAGTTGGTAGGGCTCATGGCCTGCAGGACCCTCCCCACCCACTATCTGCAGAGAAAGGCTCAGATCAATGCTCCGGGCAGCCCTAGAGTACCGCTGACTCTGTGACCCTGCCCCCGGGGCCAGAGGCAGGGAAGGGACTGGGCCTGCTCTGCACAGGGGCCCTCGTGTAAGCAGCCCGTCTCGGCAGCCAACAGAACCCAGGGAGCGTTTAGGCCACCTCTTCTCTGTCCTGAGAGGAGCTGTAGGGGCCGGAGACGGGTAAGCGAGCTGCCCTGGACTTCGAGGAACACAGCAGGGGAGGGGACGTGACCACACTGGCTGCAGTCCCAGGCGGGGTCAGGTAGGAGCCACCAGAAGCAACATAAACCAGGCGTCGTGGGGCCGGGGGCAGGGGAGAAGGCCCTGGGCGGAGCGTCTTGCTGGGGGCCTCAGGGTGATCTGCGCTGAGCAGACCGGGGGTCCACCCCTGCCCCAGCCCTCGTTGTGTGATCTTGGGCAAGCGGCTTAACCTCTCTGTGTCTCAGTTTCCTTATGTGTAAAGAAACAGTGCCTTTCTCATCAGGTTGCGTTGCTATGGAGATTAAATGAGAATAGCCACCAAACATTCAGACCAGGGCTTAGCGCATAGTAAACGCTCAAAAAAGTGTTGGTCATTGTCACTGCTGTGCAGTGCGGTGGTTGGGAAAGGTTCGGGTCAGGAGCGAGGGTTGGGCCTGAGCCTTGGGGGTGTGCAGGAGCTGAAGGGCTGACGGGAGAGCTGTCTAAAGACACTGGTCTGGGGAGGGGCTGACTTTCAGGCTGCCCGTAGGAGGTGAAACGGACTTACCTCCCACTGTGTCGAGCTGGGGCCCTCTGCAGGGCTTCTGCTCCCCAGCTGGCCCGTCTCCTCCAGACCAGCCATAGCCAAGGCCTCTGGTCCACTGATCACTTTGCTCTTTGGCCACTGGGTGGAGATGCAGGCAGGGCTGGGCGGCTGGGCCGAGCTCTGGGGCCACTGCCCAGGGCTGTGTCCATTGACTAGGGTGGCCTCAGCCCAGCCTTCAGGTTGGCCGTGTTGCTCTCGCTCCAGGACGCCCTCTGTGCCTGGGAAACCCACCTCTGACCCCAAAGCTGTGGCCAGGCCACCCCAGTGGCCAGCTGGGTCCTTTCGGGGCAGCTGGGCCTGCAGGAGCTCTAGGAGGCCTTCCCAGTCCAGCCTTGGAAGACGGGAAGTGAGCATCGGCTCCTCCATACGGGCCCAGGCCTCCTCTCTGGGTGCCCCAAGAAGGCCTACAAGGTTCCTCCAGTCCAGCTCAGGTCGCCACTCAGGGCCATGCAGGTGTGGGCATGTTCCCTCAACCCCCCCATCCCTGGCAATAGGCATCTCGGGCTTCCAGGATTTCGAGAACTCTGCTGGGCCTGCCCTGGAGTTCTCTGGGGGGCTCCCAGGCTGGTGGGGACTAGACAGCTCCTGCAGGCTGCCCCAGCCCCTCTGTGCTGGCCTGTCCGGGGGCTCCTCCCAGGCCTCTGATTGCCCCCTGTGGCAGGTGGGGCCACCCAGCTGCCCCCAGCTCTCCTCAGACTCCCTGGGAGGGCCCCTGTGTGTTCCCTCCGGGGCTCTGGCAGCTCCCCAGCTGGGCTCCCCAAGTCCTTGCCAGCCCCCTAGGCCCAGGTCCTCCTCCTGGCTGCTCCAGCCTCTCTCCAGCTGTCTGTGAGGGCCCCGGGATCCTGGCAGCTCCTCCTGACTCCGCCACCCCACCAGAGGCTGCCTTTGGCCCACCCGGCCACTCTCCGGAGGTCTCTCTGTCCGCTGCTGCCTCTCGGGGGTCCTGGCTGATGTCCTCGGGGGCGGCGAGGACCCCTGGAGCCGCCGGTCCCCCTCAGGCCGCCTCTCGGGGCTCCTGGGACGAGGGGGCTCTGCTCGGCTCCGCTGGGCTGGTTCTGCCTGCTTCACAAGGGGCTTGGTTACCTGAGGATGAGGTGAGGGGGTGGGTGAGTCTCCAAGACCCCAACTGGGTGGCCTCTGTCTAGGAGGGTGGGAAACTCAGGTCTTAGCCAGGCCCCAGGGGGAGATAAGCTGTGTCCTCCCAGCAGCCTGGACGAAAGCGGGTGGAAAAGTACCCAGGTCTCTGGAGTCCTCCCTGGGAGGGGGTGGGGGGTCAGCTCTTCCCTCTCACCCACTTTCCTCAGTTCCAGAAAGAGATCTGCAAAGAGCTGCTCACTTTCCCCGCTTCCCCTCCCTACAAGATACTGATTCCAACCTGGGCTATCAGGTGCCGGAATTTCCACCACCAATACTCCATTCCACTGGGTCGGGCCTTGCCCTCTAAAACTTTCTTTAAGAAGACAAATCCCCACCCTGGAAGAGATGGCCCTTAGAGCTGGATTGAGCTATCTGAGGCTTTCCCTGAAACCTTCTCAGGATAGCAGGTACCTAATAAAGGAAGGGGACAGCATGGAAGGGCCATCTTCAAAGGACGAATTTGGGGTCCTTCTCAATTTGCCAAGAGCTGCTGGCTGTTTGGAAGAGGGGGGAGCCAGACACCCAGGATTGGGACTCTGACTCCTTCATAAAGGACCTCCCTTCCCAGGACCCCTGCCTGGTACCTGGGGAAGGGGAGACACAGGGGCCCACTCCTTGGGGGCTGCGGGGGCCCGGGGCAGGCTCATGGTGCTCACCTCCCTGCTGAGGGCAGGGCTGGACTGTCTTCGGAGAAGTTGGCTCTGACCTTGGCCGGGCCGCTGTGACCGCCCCTCCTGCCGGGCCTGGAAGGCCCCCGGTGCCTCGGACTTCCTATGAGCAAATGCAGCCGCCCCTCTGAGGGCCCTTGGGGACCGTCCCACGCCTGCCATCCCAGTCCTCTACTCACACCCCCAAAGGGAGGAGATGTGTGAGATCCAGGGACCCACCATAGGCTCATTGAAGAGCCCTAAGTAAGGGATGATCCTCTCAGGGCCTCAGTTTCCCCTTCTGAAAAATGGGGGAAACTGCTCTACCCTTCCTGCCTCATGGGGCTGTTGTGAAGATATGAGAAAGGGGGTGAGCAAGGTGGGGGGCTCTGTCTTGGCTGTGACCGCCTCCTGTCTCACTTGCTACTTCCTATCTCTGACCGCCACCCACTAGCAGCCCATCACTCACCCCCAGACAAAGGTCAGACTGGTCCTTGCGGGAAGTAAGATTTATTGAGCACCTACTGTGTGCCAGGCACTGTGCACACAGGATCATAATGGCAGACGTTCATTGAGCACTTCCTGTGTTCCAGGGGCCAAGCCCGTGACCATCTCATTTCATCTCACACAACCCACGGGGTGGGGATGGGAGATGCAGAAGGCTCCATGCCCCTATGTTCCATTCTTTCTGCCCTCTTCCTGTCCGATTGGTAAGTTTTGGATTTCACAGGCCCACCATTTACCCCTCCATACTGACTAACAGGATTCCAGCATTTAGCCTGAAAACTCTGGGCCATGCTAGCTGTTGGTAAAAGAGCTCTCAGCAAGATCAGAAGGAAGAAACATCCCCGCTTCCCCGACAATTCCAGAAAGGCCATCGTAATCTGTCCATGCAGATGTCATCCTCAGACACCCGGACTTCAGGCGCTGTTGCCACGTGCGCCAAAGATAACCTCTGAGCTGTAAAAAGTCCCTGGTTCCGGGTAGCTGTCTTGCCTAGTAATTGGTTGCCATGGTTATTAATATTCAACGTGACATCTCTGTTGAAAGGTAGGCACACCAAACCAAATCTGGGCCCACGTCTCTCCCCTCCTGTGTGTAAGGGGGTCAAGACAAAAGACCTAACCACTCCACTGGAGATCCACGTCAACAGGGTCGGAGCCTGACTTCATCTAAACCGACAAACGGAGATGCGCCTCTCGTGGTTGAACTGAACCAGGAGAAGCCTGAAGAAGACACCTCAGTGCTGAGCCCTGACCGAGCCAGCAAAACGGGAAGAAAGAGGAATCTCTACGCAGGTCTCAGCAATCTGCCTGCAGCTTGGGAAACCCTACGGGCTTTGGAGAGTAGAAAAATTACGGGTTTGGGGTTTGTTGTTGTCGTCTCATGGCTTTTCCAATGTTGTTAGAATCGGATGCGTAAATGAGATCAGTTTTTAGCAGTTCTTAGCAGCTGACTCACGGGGAACCACAGTTGCAGCCGCCTGATCAGGTTCAACTTTTAATCTAATTTGAAGTGAGGGCGGTTCCTCGCTCCGTGAGATCTGAGGCCTTAGAGTGAGTTCTCCCCAGAACAGAGCATAGGAGCCTTTATAAAGCAAAAGCCCCGAATGTGACTGGGGTGGGGGTGGGTGTGTGTGTGTGTGTGTCAGGTAATGGAGGAAATACTCAGTACAGGGCAGCGAGGCAAATGTGTGCTCTCTCCAGGGCAGCGAGGCAAATGTGTGCTTTCTCTCGAGTGGATGCATTTTCCGTAGAAACTCCAGCTGGCTCAGTGATCCTTCTGGGAATTTCCCCCCTCCATGTGGAATTGAGAGAGAAGAGGGAAGGACTCAAGAAGATTCTGAAACTCCTCCAGAGACCCAACCCTTCTGCTGCTGAAGCAACTGTGTCCCCTGGGCCACCTGTCCCTAAAGGTTGGTGTGGCTGCAGCGAGGGTGACAAAGGAAATGCGTTTCCTTTGGAAGCTTGGATGAGCTCTTCCACCTCCAGAGAGTATTAAAGGACAAAAGCTGTCAAATCTAGCAAATTCCATGAAGGCTCTGTTTTGAATTCAAGAGACTACGAAATGCTTATATGACTCTAAGATAAGAGATCCCAAAGGCATCTGGGGGGGGAGGGGGCCAGGGAATGAAGATATTAAGCCAAAATTCCTAATGCTTTAATGTGATTTTTTTGAGAAAAAATTTCCAGGCTCAGTTAGAATGATGCTTGCACAAAGTAGATGCTCAATAAACACGTGTTGAATGAATAAGTGGGAGAAGATCAAAGGCAGCTCTCCAGCCACCCACTCATAAATTTCAGTCTGCCCCTTACAGATACTGAAATAGGTTTTAAAACTTCATCTTCAG